TGTCCTACGGGGGATAGTGATTTTAACACTAAATACAATAGACCTAGAACGCTAAATAGACGCAATGAATAATATTAACCAACAGTATACGCAATAGTAGTGTTCGGGGCCAGTGGTGCCCTCGAGCCAGGTGGCGGGGAGGAGTTTATAGTAACATTTTTGTTACAAGATATATACAAATTTTTAAAGAAAATGTAATCTTGAATGGATATAAGCGTCATTAATAGTGTCCAGCTTGTTGAAGTCGTGTGGTAAACGTAAAAGAGGAGAGTGTGCTTAATTATTTACGTACCTCAGGTCGTGCGAACAACAGAGAGGATACTATGGTATAAGCGAAACGCCAAAGCGTCGCTCGTTGCACACTTTTTTGGATTTTCTGGACTTCTAGGTCCGACACCTAGATACAGGAAGCTACGGAGCGGAACACCTGGATATCCTATATCTCTAAAAACTATCATCTCAAATACTAGGAATTATATCGAAGCACACACATACGTACACTCAACACGCGCGCTCCACATGAATTTTTGTTATACGTTTTGGGCGGAAGAAAGACTTAATAATTTTATACTATTGTAAAGGCAGCTTTATATTAATTGAAAGTTCGGTCTGAACGGTAGCTTCACGTACAAAATGTATTTGATTTTGTTGTGTATTCGTAAATTACCAAAAACATCCAGAGTACAAATAGGTAGAGAAGGCAAAGCAATGAGCCCCATCTGTCGTATGAAAAAATAAATGGACGTGCGAAGACGATGACAACGACGACGGAACTGAAATAAAATCATCTCGCTCGCCGTGTGAATACGCTCTCATCTCGTACACCGATCGTATTGGTCTTGGTGGCAATCGATTCAGAACCCTCAATTCCTACAGTGAATGTATCAATAACTTTTTCTCATGTATAGCGGTTCATAAGATATTTCGTTCCAAACACAGATATAAGAGTTGACTCGGGTAAAGAGTCTCTGCAAGCCATGCCCTGTACATCCGGTTGTCTGTACTTGGCGCGAGACTCGGCCGAGTGTCTTGATCTAAAAATGGTTTTATCCGTACAATATACTATACCGTGGTGCCCGGCTCGCCCCCGCTGTAATTAATTTATCCTCAGGGCGGCCAGGGAGCTCTAGTGGGCTAGTAATTTCCGAAAAATTAGGAATTCTGATCGGGAATCGAACCCGATAACTTCGGACTACTAAGTCGGGCACTTACCACTGTGCCACGGAACCCACTGAACCCACTGTCCGACCTGATAAGTCTTATTTATTTATTTTTCGATAATTCCTCGGTGGTATCCCCTCAAACTCTGTAACGCCACGTTACAGTACTTACCTTCAAACGTTATTCCACTTTTACAGTTCAAGGACCAACATGTTATTGAAATAAGCAAAATGCACTACAAACAAAGTTTATTGTACAGTGTTATGTCTAAAGACGGGAGTACTGTTCAGTCTTTAAAAGAAACAAACTTTAAAGATGTTACTTTTTATCTCGCAAACGCAGGGGAAAATCTGAGAATAAAAACGTTGGTTTGTTCATGGCAGAAGTTATGGTCTTACTTTCCGTTGCTAGAAGCGTATAAAAATTCAGATAAAGATAGAAACTTATCACAAGAAGAATTCTTAAATTTCACTAACAGTCAAGTAAATGTTGACTCGGAATTGATTGAGCTTCGAGGTACAATTGTCGAAAAACTTGTTGATAAACCAGACGATCTGATATTAGACGATGTGAACATTTGGCTAGTCGGTGATGAAGAAGAAAACAGTCAGTTGATGACAGACGGCGAAATTATCTAAGACGTGCAACCCGTGAAGAAAATTATCAGAGATGCCCTAAGATAGGGCATCCTGGTAGGTCCCTACCAGGATTTAATGTGGATACCATAATATGGATTTCCATATCAATGCCAATTAGAGACCTAATAAGGAAATTCTTTTTATTGCAAAGTGAAATTGAGTTGGGCCATACGAGGCCAATCACTTCAGGGCCCGGTCAGGCTTAATCACGGAATCAAGTTTGCAAATCTATATAAATAGAAATTAAATGCTGTTCGTTGGCAAGCGCATCACTTGAGAACGGCTGGATCGATTTGGCTAATTTTTTTTTTTAATGTCTGTAATAGTTCGAATAAAGTTTTTAGGGAAAGAAAAATTGGAAAAGTTGCCCGAATAATTGGAAAATTTAGGAAAAACTGTAAGTGATTTTTTCTATGGGATTTTTGTATGAATTCAAGACCATAACTCACGATTCGAATAATAGATATGCGTGATTCTTATTTTGTTTTGTTCTTTATAGTCCTGGAAAAGTTTTCAGGAAAAAAAAATTTCATCAAATACGAACAGATGCACGACGCGTTTAATCAAAAGTTGAAACACGAAAAACAATATGATTGCGATGTATTGAGAGAATCAATTCGAACGAACGTTCTACTTTTGAATCGGCAACAAAATATGCCTACGACACTCTCATGAAAGTTGTGAACGATGGAACTGAAGGAATTTTCTTCTTGGACACTCCTGGTGGAACTGGAAAAACTTTTTTGATCGCATTGATTTTGTTAACGATTCGCTTGCAGAATGAAATTGCATTTGCACTTGCTTCATCAGGAATTACAGCTACGTTGTTGGAAGGCGCTCCAACAGCTCATTCAGCACTCAAGTTGACGTTAAATATGCAAATCAATGAAACTCCAACGTGCAACCTTTCGAAGAACGGTGCGATGATCGAAATTTTGCAGCTGTTGTGCCGTAACGTCTCGGTGACAAAGGAGTTCGTTCGAGAGGTTAGGGCTAAGGTAATTTTTGGGATCGTTGCCGGTTAAGGAGTTGGAACTCGCGTGAATACAACAAAACAGAGAAGGTTTATTGAAACAATCAAGTGTTGTACAGTATGTCGACGTACGTCGACTTGGAAAAATATAGGCACCGTTCGGTCCTCCTATTTCCTGTACCGAGTCTACTCCACGAGACCACCTTATCCGTTCGGATTTTAATTGTAGACTGTAGATTTTCGAATGTGCAGCCATAAGCTGGACTTCCGAAAAGTGATTATTGTGCGATTTTTAGATTTCCACATATTGGTTGCCAGGCCGTCTTTAGTTCTGACTTAGCTCATTGCTACACGCGTGAACTACTTGGCCTGGCGTTTCTCAATGGGGTCGGGAGACTCCCAGCATAACACAGCAATGCAAATTGATCGTTTGGGATGAATGTACGATGGCGCATAAAAAGTTTTTGGAGGTATTAGGCTGAACGATCCAAGATCTACGAAACAATCAAAACCGGTTTGGAGGTGCGATGATTCTATTGGCAGGTGATTTTCGCCAAACATTGCCAGTGATTCCACGATCAACGCTAGTCGATGAACTTAATGCATGTTCTAAGTCGTCTGTTTTGTGGAAACATGTCAAGACACTCAAATTAAGTATAAACATGCGTGTCGAGTTGCAGAACGACACATCTGGAGAAGTATTTTCAAAACAATTGCTGGACATTGGCAATGGCAAAATCCCCGTTGACATTTCGACTGGCTGCATTACATTCTCCGTCGATTTTTGCCAATTCACCGAATCAAAGACCAAACTCATCCGAAAGATGTTCCCAAACATTGCTCAAAATTACAAAAATCATATTTGATTGAGCGAACGTACTATTGGCTGCGAAAAACAATAATGTTGACGAAGTGAATTTCAAGACTCAAAGTGAAATTGCTGGCGAATTGATGATGTACAAATCAGTGGATTCCGTTACTAGCCAAGATGATGTTGTCAATTATCCAACCGAATTTTTAAACTCGCTGGAATTGCCCGGACTGCCGCCTCACAATCTCCAATTGAAAGCCGGTCGGTATTCATAATGTTGCGAAATATCATCCAACCACGTCTTTGTAATGGCACCCAGCTTGCGGTGAAGAAACTGATGAACAACGTTATCAAAGCAACAATTGTTAAAGGAAAGTACAAAGACGACGTTTTGATACCACGCATCCCATTGATTCCGATCGATACGCCATTCGACTTTAAACGCTTGCAGTTTCCGGTGCGGCTTGCATTCGCATTGAACATAAACAAATCACAAGGGCAGTTATTGAGTGTTTGCGATATTAACCTTAAAAATCCATGTTTCTCACATAGTCAATTGTATGTTGCCTGTTCTCGTTTCGGAAAACCATCAAGTTTGTTTCTTTACGCGCCAGACAACAAATTAAAAAATGTCGTGTGTCATAAAGCATTACAATAAACGAAATGGTGATGTCACAGCAAATCAATCGAATCAAAGCATTTCTTTGTTTTGATTGTTTACTGGAACATCGATCTTGCAATCGAAATCGTAATGTACATACATAGCACACCTTGAGATTCATTGTGATTTCAAATTTAATGGAAGAAAATAAATCATTTGATTGGTATGAAATTCTGATTTAATTCAATTGTGACTTAAATTTTGGAACAAAACCGCATGATTCCAAGTCGATCACATTCTAGGCATATCACACATTTCCAGCATTTCAGCGGTGTACTGCCGATAGAATTCATCTCGCATCTAAAATTTCCCGTTGGCGTATTTCTGAATATACTCCTCCTCAAATTGAATATCCATGGCCACAATCGTTAATAGATACAATGATTACTCAGAATTACGTTTTTTTTTTAATTTTTACTTTGTTTACACATTTCCAATAGCTTTTCACAAATTCACAAAACGATCCCAAACAAATTTATTGAAATTTGAACATATGTGAAATTATGTTTTTTTTTTTTCCAACAGCGAATATACATAATGCAACCGCATAAGTCAAGTGATTGTGCCTTATAACAAACCTGTTTACCCCGATATTTTTATTCGTAGACGTATTATTCATGAAAGATAACTGTGCTTTGAAAAATTAATTCGTTCATTGACGTCTGTTTTCATGGCTTACAATTAATAACTCCATGTTCATAAATTTTTCAATGTCACGATATTGGTTTACAACATCATACTGATCCTTTTTTACAGTTGTACGAGGAATATGCAGAACCACTTCAACTTTGGGAATGTAAACTCGCTATTATTCATTGTTCGGGTCATCAAGATGCTATGTTAATACAAGGCATTTGGACTAACATAATTGAGAATGGTATGGTGATAGCAATAGCTTGTGTGTATAATCTGATTATATGTAAATATGCATATAATATTAGACTGTGTTATAAACATTTTTAGAATTGAAGAACGCTACAGCTCCATCTGCAGAAGATAAATTGGTGATACTAATGAGCAAAATTAAACTTCTGGGTCAAGAATATTCCGGAACTCCTCATTGTTTTCCAATTGGTAAGTATATTTTGCACAATTTACTACGAGTATGATAATGTACATTGACGTGACATTACTGGCTTAAAGAAGGATGTCTATACTAAAATTTGCCGAAAAACTTCAAGATAGGAATTTATCAGGATGGACAGCGGGCTTAATGACGCAGTTGATAACGTTGTAGCTTAAAAGTCTGAAAATATCGGATTCGACTCACCTCTAATTTTTCGGTAATTTTTTACCTCTCTTGTCTTGGCGTTCAAAGAGAAAAATAAAATAAAATTACAGCGCGTGGGGCTGGGCAACTCGCTATACTGCTTATTATCTAAAAAAACTGATATATTCTCTTAAACTGAATACCACATCAAATATATGTATATACAATTACCCTATTGTTAGTTACATACAGGGTGTCCCAAAATTACCTGACCAACGGGGTATGGTGGTGTTCGGGAGAACTGAACACGAAAATGACCTCCCTTTTGTCCGGAAGGTCATAGTTTTTAAATGGGAGCAGGTCAAAGTTGACCAATCAGAGGAAGGCGTCAAGAGAAACGTAGGCACCTGCGAACTCTGAGTTTTCTTCCCTCGCTTTTGTTTCTCGGTGGCTTCGGGCAGGATGACGTCAGCCGAAGACATGCCTATTGGAAACAAGAAACAAGCTACCGAGAAACAAAAGCGAGGGAAGAAAACTCAGAGTTCGCAGGTGCCTACGTTTCTCTTGACGCCTTCCTCTGATTGGTCAACTTTGACCTGCTCCCATTTAAAAACTATGACCTTCCGGACAAAAGGGAGGTCATTTTCGTGTTCAGTTCTCCCGAACACCACCATACCCCGTTGGTCAGGTAATTTTGGGACACCCTGTATAATACAGGGTGTCTCAAAATTACCTGACCAACGGGGTATGGCGGTGTTCGGGAGGCACCACTGATCACGAAAATAACCTTCCTTTTGTTCGGAAGTTCATAGTTTTTAAATGGGAGCAGGTCAAACTTGACCAATCAGAACGAGGCGTCAAGAGAAACGTAGGCACTTACGAACTCTGAGTTTTCTTCCCTCGCTTTTGTTTCTCGGTGGCTTCGGGCAGGATGACGTCAGCCGAAGACATGCCTATTGGAAACAAGAAACAAGCTACCGAGAAACAAAAGCGAGGGAAGAAAACTCAGAGTTCGTAAGTGCCTACGTTTCTCTTGACGCCTCGTTCTGATTGGTCAAGTTTGACCTGCTCCCATTTAAAAACTATGAACTTCCGAACAAAAGGAAGGTTATTTTCGTGATCAGTGGTGCCTCCCGAACACCGCCATACCCCGTTGGTCAGGTAATTTTGAGACACCCTGTATATTTAAAGCTCATTCACTACGTATAACATTACTTTATAATAATTTGTAAGGTGCTCACTGCAACGGTAACTTCTTTCATAATATAATATCAGGTTAATAACTTTGACATTGTAAATCAAAATATTATCTATCAAGAATAGCACAGTTTTCATAAGAACGTAGTGAAACTATGTTGTCGTTAAAATAACAGAAAGAAAAGCAAAATTTCATTGAAACAGCTCTTCACTGTCCCGCATCATGCAGTAGTGCGAATTCAGTTTAACTATGGATGAAAGTATGATTAAATTTACGAAAATTGCAACGATTGCAAATAATTGATAGTAACAACTCAGTTATAACATTTCTATTTAATGCATCCTTTAACTAAAAAAATGCTAGACACTAAAACTGTGTTTCGTATATCGTACACAACCAAAAATTATGAAATATCCGTCTTAAACATATGTAAGAATCTCCATAACTAAGTAAATAAATTTTCCTAAATAATTGATTCCCTTTTTTTAATTATGTTGAAGCATATTAATTACTGATTTCAGAATTTTTATTAAAGCAAATGGAAGTGCGAGCCTGTCGACTACGTGTATCAAACGATCATATTATAAAGGGATTCCTGGAACTAGGCGTATCACTGGAGGAACTATTGGATCTGTATGATAAGTATGTATACTATACTAATTCTACGTGTTGTATCTGACATATATGTTGCCGGTTAGATCAAGGGGGTCATCTTGTTCGGGTTTGACCATTGTAAGCAGGTACTCCCAAAGACCGGTGAAGTTCTTTATTTGGCGAACACTCCACGATACACACGATTACACTACTCCATTGACAGAAAGTAGCAAGTCGTTGCATGTAGTCCGCTTGCTTCTCTTTTCCGCGCCCCCGACCCTCCAACGCCTCGCTAAAGCCTTTCTCTTCCACCTCTGGCTCTCGTTTTTTTTTCCTTTTTCTTTTTGTCATAAAGTGAATGGACAACTCGCCGCCATATATAATTGTACATCTGATGAGAGACTGCGATAGAACACGAATTGAAAATATAAGCATCATGTGGATATTGGAAAAAAATGAGAAGGGACAAGTAGAAAAGAGAACGAAAGAAATAGCTTAAAATCTATTGTAATTACGTAATATGTACCAAAATTTTATTTCAAGACCGGGATGTTGAAATAAATGAATTCTATCGATCTACGTAACCCTTCGTAGCAAAAATATTCCTTCATCTTCTTATATATAGATTGTTGTAAAATTTGGTATCGAGTGGTTTTTTAATGGCACTGGTCAGAAATCTAAACTCGAAATTTTTTAATCCAAAATGACGGATTCCATTTCCATATATCCATTTCAAACCTGAGTTGAGTTCAGATTCATAATCAGCGATCTCAAAATCTTCCGAACACGAATTTTTATGCAAATCAGCTTACTTTTTATCATTTCAGTCCGCTATGTCGGATTCGACATTTTTAATATTTGAATTTCGAGTTCACATTCGTAATTAGTAATTCCAGAAACTTGCGAGTACCAAATTTTAAGTAAATCGTATATAAAGAAAAATTTATGCTTCAAAGTGTTAATATATTAAATATGAATTAACTGCACTTTTTAATATAAAATTATGATTATTTCAGCATTAACTATTGCTTTTTTTATTTCACACTGTTTTCTTGAAAAAGCAAGAATAAAAAAATATATGTTTAAGAATTTTAAAGATGGCTTTATCTCCTTAAGTTAAAAATCCCCCTTCTCGGCTTTCGACACAAAGCTCTGTTATGATCAGGTGTATGCTCAAGTTTGTTGGTCATTTGGAACATCATAACGAATGCTCACGCGCAAAAGTGGGAATGGAAGTGAAGCTATTAATTGGAAGTACACTACCGGTCAGAAGTTTAGGTTCACCTCGCTTTCTTTGTAACGCTCCTATGACTGCAGTTTGAGAAACATAACATTTAGAAGCAATTTTTCGCGTTGAATAACCTTCTTCGTGTAATGACACAATAACTGCTCGTGTCTCTACACTCAGCTCTGCTTTTCGATCCATTTCTCTACGATTGACACATAAAATATGTAGTTTTCTTCACATTTCAATAATGGGATGATATTTGTCGAATTACGTCAATTTAAATATAAATTTTTCTTTAAGAGTAACGATTTTCAATATGAAAAATGTTCTACTTACCTTTTTATAAAGAAAAATATGAAAAACAATTGGAAATATAACTTTTGGAAAGAGCTCTCAAGCACTAAGATGTTACTTGTAATATACACTAGACACATCGAGATAATGCAACCTGTCATAACAAGTTTGTGCTCGATCTACGCGTCTCCCAAACGCGCCAAACTCCCTTCTACACCCTGGCCAGTAGCGTGTATCGACTTGTTATAGGTAAAACGCACGTGCTTGACAAAATTCACTGAGTAGCCGACTTAATTGTGTAGAATTCAAAAATAAAACAAGTGAACTTAAACTTTTGACCGGTAGTGTAACTTCCTAAAAATATTCCGGCAGTTTTTCGGGAATCTCCTCATGCTGTTGGGTCAAAATGAATTATTTATTTATTATTATTTATTAGACAGGCAAAGTCCATAATACAATACATGAATTATAATATTGTTGTGCACATAAGGGAAAAACATCTTAACTAAATCACAGCTCATATAACATGTGAAATTTAATTGAGTATACATGAAAACTAAAGTTAAGTTCAAGTTATTCAAAACATAATGTGAACTTTTTAAGAACACTTTCAACTGCCTAAATTTTAATATGAAAAATTATTTAAGTAAGGTTTGCTCTTGATAAGTTTATTCTTTAATAAACTTATTTTATAAATAGGATCTATCAGATAAAACTGACTAATATGAATAGAAACAGCAAATGGTTGGTTGAATCTTAGTATATAATTAAGAGTACATAAAGGGATAAGGCTTTTAAAATTAGAACATTAGTATACATTGGCCATCATTTTAAAAATCAAAGTAGCATCAGCAAATTCAAAATAAGAGTCAAGTAATGAAATTCCATATTTATAAGCAACATCACCATAGTCAGATTTGAATTTACCTATAGGTATAAAGACAATTCTTAAAAATTTGTGTTGAATTTTTCAAGTCTGTACAATAAACTTTACACAAAGGTCTCCAAATTACAGAGGCATAAGTTAGGAGAGATCTGATTGAATGTGATTTGATTAAGGTACAAGATGAGACTAAGTTTGGAGTCAAATATAACTGTTAAATTTTTCACTAAAAGAACTTGATTAATCATTACAATGTCAATTTTGTATTCATAACTAGAGCGCCCAAAGATCTGCAGAATAAGACTACATTGCATTTCTTAACATTAATGTATATCAAGTTTACTTTACACCATTCAACGACTCTATCTAAATCACTTTGTAATTTTATACTATTATCAATACTTTCACATTTTAACATGATTTTCATATCGTCAGCATAAAGCAAGGGCTTTGACTGCCTGATAACTTCAGAAAGGTCACTAATGAAAAGAGCAAACAATATTGGCCCCGGTTGAGTCCCTTGGGGTACTCCAGAATTCGCATAGAATTCTGTAACTTTCATATAGCATTTTCTCATTGACAAATAATCCCTCACCCATTTTATTATATTCGCTAGTAACTGGTGGTACCTATATAAATTATAAATAAGAGTATTGTGATTAACCAAATCAAATGCCTTCTGGAAGTCTGCATATATCACATTTGTTTGACCATTATTTTTTAGATCATTAACCGATTTATCTGTAAGAGGTAAAGATTGGTAAAGATTTTTAGGTTAGTCACAGTCGAACATCTATTTAAAACACCATGCTGTGATGGTGAAATATGTTGCTCAAAAGAGCAGAAAACTTTTTTAGCTATGATGTTATCTAATAATTTAGGGATTGCGTTAATAATGGTAATAGATCAATAATTAGTAATATAATTATTTTTTTCACATTTAAAGGCCTGAGTTATATAACTGAACTTGCAAGAGCAGTGAGACTGGTTTTTCTTTAACGATTGTGAAAATAACAGGAATAGAGGCTGTATGAGATTAATAGAACATTTTTAATGAAAATTGCAGGAGTTCCGTCATTATTAATGCTCTTACTCCACTTTAACTCCTTTACCGCTTGGATAATATCATCTGTACTTAATACAAATTTAGATGAATAAGGATCTGTGTTACAATTACAGTGCGTTGAGGAATAAGATGAATTTGGGTAAACACTGGAGAAATATTTCGTAAATAAGTCAGGAGTTTGAGCAATATCATCAACTATTTTATCATTTAGTTAAATATTAATTGGATAGCTTTTAGAGTTCATTCTTACATTAATGTATGACCAAAAGTATTTTAATCTTTGGAAAGAGATATATATTAGACAACCAAAGTGGAAAACTATCAATTTTAACGTGCTTAATGGAAACATTTTTTATCAAAATGTTATTAATAATAAAGTCAAACCTTTGTTGTAGCCCAGTTGTATAGTTCTCTTTCCCGTAAAATCATTGACATTGATTCATTAATACCTCATAGTTAATGTTATTAAAATCTAAATTAAAAAATTTGTATGCAAGTAATTCTCATGAGATACATTGGAAATATGCGTGGTACAAGATATCAGAATACATAAGGCAGAATGCGGTGGACCAATCTTCAACAAGGAGGCTACGACAGTTTCTACCTAAGTCCTAGAGCTTGATGAAAAACATAGATAAAGAATATTACCATTTGCATTTTTACAAAAGTTAAATGTTTTAAATCCTAAATTATATAAGTTGAAGTACAGTAATTCAATGGATTCGAAGGTTAATTATGCTTGTGTACAATGCAGTACAAGAAATGTGTCTATGACACACCGGAGAAATTACGGAGATATCCATATAGTCCGATAAAAATCACGACACAGCCATTTATACATTCGTGTGCCGTTTAGGTTTAGGTTTGGGTTTAAGTTATATTGTAATACGGTGCCAGATTTTTCCATGTATTGTGTAATAGAGAAAACGTCATAGTCAGTTAATCGAGCAACTTCCGCAACTTTCCTTTATCTATTGTATATTGATGTAGGGTCAGTTGATGTAGTCGAAGAAGTATAGGTTTTTCGCGTATATTGATATAATTGTTTTTTAAAAATATATATATTATGCATATTTTTCGTAGAGTCAATACATAATTTATATATCAATTCTATTTGTATATAAAATCATCTAGCCAGAACTACTTTTACACCGGAAAATGGACGATAGCTAGAGGCCCCCCGAGTACTCTCCCGCAAAGCGTTTTTTAAAATTCGCAATAGTTTTTAAATGAGAAGCATTTAAGGTGTACCAATCAGAATGAAGGATTCCTGTGGGTCATAGCAGCGTAGTGGGAGGTATAGTCGTGTAAGGCAAAAGTTAGCTGCTTGAACGTATCGCAATTAAAAAATTAAATGGGAACAACGGTCCCGTATTATAATCTAAATAATAACCAATAATACCAAATAAACGAATGAATATAGCAAGATATAAGATAAATTATAAAATCAAGTCCTTATAACAGAAATCTACAGATAACGTACAGAATTCCGGACTGTTTCAGGAACACAACGCAATTTACGCAATAAATTTTAAAGGATTACTGTGTTTACTAAGCCAGCTAACAAGTGATCTAATGCCCTGCTTGTCATCCTATCAATATTTACAATACTTGGCTTAGCAACACGAACTGGCTTTGACTTATTGTCGAGAGGCCTAATATAAAAATCTCACAAATTCCGCGCTGAAAATCTAGATCTTTCTGTCTTATGATACTTGAAATATGTGTAATCTATTGGTTTCCGACTAGACTCTGTACAGGAGTCAGTTCCAGGAATTTATACGTCCCCGAACCTATTGGCCGACAAATATACAATCCCCTAGCCTCCCTCCGAATGTACTCGAATCTATCGCATAGAAAAATTATATTTCTGCGGTACCCTTACATTACCCGAGACGCGATCAAAACGATTACGGACAGCGTGGACTGATTAGGAACATCATGCACAAGGATATTACATGCAATAGCAAACATCATATCCAGTCAATCGATCGTGCAAACGTAAGGCGATACGTACTGTCTAGATCGGAAATCTAGGAGTCTAACTTACGGCCTCGTGTATCTCAATCAGTTACAAAAGTTCAGGACTCAAAGCGTCATTCATCCTTCATAGTACCTAACTCTTCCCCTCCCACCCCTCTGACCCCTCTCTTCATACTCTATTCAACTGATTTTTATTCTAATCTTCAAAATTGCAAGTTTATTTTGCTGATGATCTTCAGATATACTATTCTTGTGATCCTCATGACTTTTGCAAGGGAATATGTTATTGATTATTCTTCTTCAAAGAGGTTGTTTTGGGTCTGACAAGAAAATAATGTATCCACAGCACCACACACTCTTTATGCATTTGAACAAACTAAATATTTTATTTATGTAAGCAGGATTGCAATTATAAAGGTTGATTCTTAGCGAGTGAAAAAAGGAAGAACGTGACAACAACGCCACATACGCAGCTCGGCAGGCAATGTGTATTTTTGTCAGGAAATGTGGATAGGTTCCTAATCTGCTTTATCGGGCCTCGAAACCCGAGATCTGATTTATCTATCCGCGATCGTAACTTCCAACAGGATGCAAAGAATAAACTCTGGCATTTATAGAATCAGGTTATGGACAACGGGAAATGGACTGCACCTAAATTCTGATAAAACTAAATCTACTATCTTTGGAACTGCTTCGTACCTAAATCAAATTCAGTTTGATCATTTCCTGGAAGTTGTAAACTAAACCGAAATTTCTTATGAACGGGAAAGCAAAATCGTCGGTATCATTATTACTTCTAATTTTTCATGGAATAGCCATACAAGAAATACCTGTAGAAAAATGTATCCCCTAAAACAACACTTACGTGTAAAAAACTACACCAAGTACAGGAGTGCTGTGAACTCCTCTAACAAAAAGTATTGAAATCATATTATTAATGCCCTAACGGACCTGAAATAAAATCATCTCGCTCGCCATCTCAATACGCCCTGATCTCGTATATAAATCTCATCGATTTTGATGGCAATTAATTCAGAATTCTCGATTCCTATAGTGAATGTATCAATAATTTTTTCTCATAAATAGCGGTTTATAAGATATTCTATTCTAAACACAAGTACACTGAGCGGCATTAATGGCGTCCCAGAGAGAAGTTAGGGGAACAGTAGCAAAGCGAGAGTGGGGCGGCCAGCAGCCTAGAAGCAAGCCAAGCCGAAGCGTAGAGGGGGTAGCCTTTTCCCCTCGCTCGGGACACCATTTATGTCAGGAGTCAGAGGAGTCCCGTACAAGAGCGTCTTCCTCGCTCCTACAGAAAGTTTTCTATACGAACCTCTCACTCATTGTTAGTGGTGGCTCTCCGCGTTTCTCTAGCGCGTATAGAAGCGTCTGGCTCACGCACTCGCTCTCTGCGTATAAGAGCATCTCACTCTAATCAATGGGCTCTCTGGCTTCCACCAATTCTTAGCCACCGTCAAGGACGTTGCACCAAACAAACTATGAGTCGGAACAAGAGTGGGGTGGCCAGCAAGGTGGCAGCAGCAAGTCCCAGTAGCGCGTATAAGAATGTCTTGCTCACGTGCTTGCACTTCGCCGATAAGAGCGTCTCGCTTGGACTCTCAGTTCTTTCGGCGCAACCTCCTTGCCGGTGGCTGAGGTATTGGTGGAAACGAGAGAGTCCATTGGTTTGAGCGAAACGCTCTTATGCGCAGGTAGGAATGCGCGTGAGCCAGACGTTTCTATACGCGCTAGAGAAACTCGGAGAGCCATTACTAACAATGAGTGAGAGGGTCGTACAGGAAACCTTCTGTAGGAGCGAGGAAGACGCTTTTGTACGGGACTCCTCCGACTCATGATATAAATGGTGTCGCGAGCGAGGGGAAAAGGCTTCTACGCTTCGGCTTGGCTTGCTTCTAGGCTGCTGGCTGCCCCACACTCTTTGGGACGCCAATAATGCCGTTCAGTGTACAAGAGGTGCTTCGAGGAGAGTCTCGGCGGGCCGTACCCTGTACGGCGGGTTGTCTGTATTTGGCGCAAGACTCGACCGAGTTTATTAATGATACATCTGTAGCAAGCTAGTATCAGCGCTTGTTCAATCTGTAATAGATTACTGCTGCTTAGTCACGTGTAATCTGACAGGTGACCAAGAACAAAAGCTTCGAAGAGCCCTTAACACAGCAATTCGCCTCATATACAGTGGTAAAGTGTGAAACACATCACGGCGATAATATATCTTAGGGTCTCTTATTTACAATTTCCTTCATATCAAGCGCCCTAACTATTGAGATGTTTCGTGATCTTATAAAATTGGGAATCATGAGGCTTTTTACAAGGTTTGTGCACTGGGGAGGCATCTTTTGAAGGAACGTTACACTTGAGTTTTAAAATCAAAGAGTTGTGCTATATTGTCCTATAAATTACACTCTAAAAGGTCCTTAAAATTCTATTCCATTCTCACACACACACGCATTCTTATAATTGTTTCCAGTTATATTATCGTACCGTAGACGACATAAAGTGTGTTTGTGTGTCCCTTCTTGATACTAGCTTCTAGGCGTAGGAAAAAGATAGCTGGAGTTAAAATACAGCAGACTGCACGATGCGTCCGAAGACTATAGTCCAGTTGATGATGGGGATGATAATGATTCGGTACCCACAGATGATCACAATGACCCCCGTTTTCCGAATCTCTTACCTTGAGGATGGGTTGGACTCAGACAGCTAGTAATCACAATGCCACTGGGAGCTGAGTCCTGTTTTAGGTGGATCTGCACTCCTAAAAGTTCTATTACAGTAATTTCACTGTAGGAGACTGCAGAGGTATTTGAGATGTCCTTCCTGACACTAGGGGGTATCATAATGATTCCTTAGGCCTGGTAAGAACAATGGAGAGCTCAGACAGCTACTTATCACAATGATGTTGGGAACTGAGCTTTTTAAAGTGGGTTGCCGTCGGGTGGATTTTTGGTCGATTCCTGACAGCGCCGGCACAATGACTTTGCTACAGGATATCTGCAAGGATAGGAAATTTTCTGATACTGGGTTGAGACACAATGCTCTCCAAGGCCAATAATTGCCCAGGATGAGTTCCCACAGTTTGCAGTACAATATTGTTCACTGGTTCGCTCTGGAGTAAAGGATAGCTTTCCTACTTGCTTCTTGATAATTATACTTTTCACAATTTTACAGCTGCTTGTCGGCTTTAGGTGTACATGAGTCTAGTCGGAGTCGGTATCGTAGAACGGAGTCAAGTACAGAGTGATCTCTTATCGAGGAAGCCGCTGCTTATATTTGCGAGAGGAATACGTTAATTTTGGTGGGGATAACGATTTTTATTTTCCCAAGGTGTTAACGTCGCTTTTTGATATTTTGATTTATCGATTGATTTAACTAATTAATTGAAGTAATTGGATTACCGGTTTTTTCAACTACCGGCTTACTGTCATTTCTTGTGTGTTTAGCGCTTGCCAGCTGATAGCGCCTAGGCATTTGCTTGTTTTGACTCCAGTTGCTCGACTAGACTTTGGATTCTTAGAATATTAAAGGTAATACTTTCTAATATTATTTCCTCCTGACTGTCGCTATGACTAATTTTAAGGGAATTGTGCAATATTAGTAATTAAAAAGTCCTATTTTCCCTTTCCTTTATTGACGTCGCTGTGAAAGGTCGATATGAGTTTTGAGGAATTCTAGGATGTGAGGAGTTTTCTTAGATACTATTATGCACATCCACAGTGCGCTATGCACTCTTATGTGAGGTTACGTATCCATCATCGAGAAGGATGATTAGGAAGGAGAAAGGATAGAGGATAGAGGGGTATAAGAACGGAACGTTACACTATCTTTCCAGTCTCGTTACCATTCGCGGAACAAGAAATACATGACTCAAATTTGATGATATGATCATACCTAAATGTAGATTAGAAATCTATAAAAAAATCTTTTCACCTCTCAGCAATACTTCTTTGGAACTTCCTACCTAGTACAGTAAGATCTGCCTCAACCATCTTCTCTTTTAAATCAAGATTCTACCTGTGCCTCCTAAATAAGCAAATCAGCTTTCAAATGGTTATAGATAACTAAATTGTGAAATTTACACGTACACTACCGTTCTTCTTGTTGCCTTTATCCTTTTCCCATTTCTTCGCTGTCAAACTTACTTGTTAAGCTGAGCAATTATTCTGTAAATTTTGAATGTATACTTACAATCACGCTAAACTTTTACCTACAAATTATTGTAAGAAATTATGTTACTGTATACCAAGGATCGGTGCTCTTAGGGGATTTGTATCCCAGAGCGCCAGATAAAGATATTTATCCAATTATTCTTTCATTGTCTCGCAAACACCAAATTTGCACACACTATACTTTTGGCACCGTTCTAACGTTCGGATACACCGCAAGTGACGCTACCCGAACGATCGCCCGCTAACATGACCTAGTGAGTAGGAATATTAGCCCAAAGCCCAATCAAATTTGCGCTGTCTTCAAATACGATGAAGTTGTCTGTAATGTTCAGAAGTTTTTCCCCTAAATCTGGAGAGGTAGTGCTGTGCATTCAGCGCTTTTAATGAAGATAACAGTATATCTTCGTAAGGCGCGAATCATATCCACCCTGTATCCCATGTTGTGCTGCTCCAGGCTGCGAAAGTAAAGATACTCACCTCCCGTGATACGTTTGCCAGGAACCGATGGAAAGACTGGAAGATTGGGAAGTATATTGGTGATCCCCAGAAACAGTATGGGAATCTCGCCATTCCGCTTGGCGAAGATATACATATGTTGTTATTGGACGCGTCAGCTACGGGCTGTAATTGTACAAATTTCCACCTATACAGGGTGTTCCGAAATTACCTGACCAACGGGGTATGGCGATGTTCGGGAGGCACCACTGATCACGAAAATGACCTTCCTTTTCTCCGGAAGGTCATAGTTTTTAAATGAGAGCAGGTCAAAGTTGACCAATCAGAGGGAGGCGTCAAGAGAAACGAAGGCACCTACGAACTCTGAGTTTTCTTTAAACTACAAAGTTCTATGATAATGCCATTTGACTTAAACAGATATCTCTGTGACGTCTTACGTAAGTTATCCTGATTTCGCTTTTCTTCCATTGATCTCCAGCGATTCGTGCTACATCCCATTCACGAATCGCAATAAAATTCTAATGCAATTGACGATTTTTCATAATTTATAAAGCATATTCCTGAAGAGTTTATATTCCCTGTAAGATATAATAGAGATCTCTCGTAGTAGGTACATCCGAAATCTATCTCCCGTTGAATTACACGTGGAAGTTGAATAACTCCTCGCAGCCGCAATCCTCCATCGGATGTAGCACGAATCGCTGGAGATCAATGGAAGAAAAGCGAGATCAGGATAACCTACGTAAGACATCACAGAGATATCCGTGTAAATCAAATGACATTATCATAAGATATTGCAGTTTTCAGTTAGTGCTTGACTGTTCAACTGGGAACCTCTGATCTCAACGAGTGACATCCAATAGGCGTGTCTTCGGCTGACGTCATCCTGCTCAAAGCCACCGAGAAACAAAAGCGAAGGAAGAAAACTCAGAGTTCGTAGGTACCAAACGTTTCTTTTGACACCTCGCTTTGATTGGTCAACTTTAACCTGCTCCCATTTAAAAACTATGACCTTCTGGAGAAAAGGAAGGTCATTTCCGTAGTCAGTGGTGTCTCCCGAACACCGCCATACCCCGTTGGTCAAGTAATTTCGGAACACCCTGTATATTATGACGACACGTTTTATAATGACGCACAAATAAATGGCACCAACTGAAATAATGATGAAAAGACAAAATTACTGAGCGTCAGGCATAAGCAGAGTTACACCGCTATCTCCAAAGGACATCCTGGCCAGTTCTTGTACGGTGGCGTCCTGGATCTGGGAGACAATAACTAAATATCTGAATTTCTTAATAACACAAAGACGATATAAAAGGACTAGAGGCTTTGTTTAACAGGACGAAACCCACAGACGGGCTCGATTTATTAATAATAAGAAAAATCAAATGAATATAATAATAATCTAATGTTTAAGAACAGAATGCGATAATGAACAACGGCTCCAAAATAATTTATAAAACGAAAGTAAATAGAACAACGATTCCATAACAATTTAGAAGTCGTAGATATAGTAATAATAAACTAGAACAACAGTTCTGTAGGAAATACAGGAGATTGTTAATTCAAACAATCAATCACGTAGGAACCAATGGTTTCTTAAAAGTTAAATAAACGAAAAAGATAATTCCGTACACGAATTTAATAATAATAATTAAATGAACTGAACGGATCGGAATCGTCTAATACAAATCTACGACAGTAATATTTAAATTCACAATATTTACAACTTCGCACTTCGTAACAATAACTGTACTTGACCTCCCGTCAGGACAACTAGTATAGAGATCCCGCAGATTACCCGCTAGGAATCTAGATCTTTTGAGTATTGTTAAGCATGTTCAGTCTATCCCGTCACGAATAATATCGATGCCGGAATCACTTCCGGAGACCCATTTAACTACTGACAATATCAGTCAGTAAATACGCAATCTCCTAGCTACCTTCCTATCATTTATGAATTAACACCGGGAAAAAGTACCACTACGCGGCCTTTACATTACTCAATACACGATTGAAACGATCACGCGTAGCGTGGACTGAACAAGAAAGTTTTGCATGCAATTTCTTTTGATATGCTTCACTAATTATCAACAAAAACTATAAACGAAACTTTGATGCAAGATAACGGACACTCCTAATCGTCACCGTATTAGCAAACATCGGATCTCAACGATTGTGCAAGCGAAAGGCGATGCGTGCTGTCTGGATCAAAAATCCAGCAACTAAATCTATGATCCTGTTAATCTCGATCAATTACAAAATTAATATGACTCGACAACGTCACTCACCCCGAATCGCTCTCTCTAAATCCCTTAATTCCTCTCGATCCATCTCTTTCTTTTTTCTTACTCACTCTATCTTTCAACTCTCACTTTTGGCACACGTACCGTAGTTTAACTCGGCTACACCGCAAGTGACACTAACAGAACGCTCGCACGCTAACGTGCCCTAGTGGCGTGGAGAAATATTATCCTTGGGCTCAATCAAGTTTACGTTATCCCCTACGCAGCCCAATTTGCCCTCGATCTTCAATTATTCTCTTCGATTCTAGAAAAATAGATCCTAGTAGCTTCTCTTCTTCTGGGCGGTTGTAGTAATTTTTAATAGGGCGGGAATCACATCCGCACCCTATCCCTTGTTGCGTGGCTCCAGGCCATTACTGCAACCCCCTGATGTATCCAGGATTTTCAGGAATCTCTCAGCGTGTTGCAGTTTAGGCGGCCTTCTCCAGTGGTGCTCTGCGGTCGTGTTGTCGCTCCTCTCGCTGGGTACGTCACGCCAGTGCCGTGGTGCGCATTCACTGGGTCTCTTTGCTATAGTTAGGGCTGTCGTTGGTGTTTCATGGGCGCTATAGCGTGTTAATTTTCGTATCAGTTCCCTTATGGGACCAACTACTCCTGCAAAATACAAAATATAAACCCCGAAGGGAATTAATACACATTATTAATGCTAAGTTCAGTCCACGCTCGACGCAAATGTTAGGTTGCCTTACGGACTTCACAGTGTAGCTTTGTTTTTTGCCCATTTCCCATGTCTGTTGTGACATGCACAAACTGCCCTGTCAAATTACGTGTATGTTGGTAATTTTAATACATTGCAAAAAATTTTGCCAAGATTATAGATGTCGCTTTCTCGATACTGGCTAATATACTTCTTAATATACAGGGTATTTCACCAAAAGTGCACACCTCGGTTATTTCCGTTACTATTGAAGATACGGGAAAAACTTACAGACAAAAGTTGATTTCGAGATACACCACGTTACATTATTTTTTAATGATCATCGTTTTCTGTTGGAATAAGAAAATGTACCGCGTTTTTTCCTCAATATTTTGAGACTTTGCTGACTAAAATCCCTCCAGCCATTTCTAAGTTATGGAGAAGTGAATTTATTGAACAGTCTTCGGTTGCGAAATTAAACGCGTGAACCCTCAATGCTCTGACGGCGCTGCAACCGAAGATTGTTTAATAAATTCACTTCTCAATAACTTGGAAATGGCTGAATGCATTTTAGTCTGCAAGGTCTTAATGTTAAGAGAAAGCGCGCTACATTTTCTAATATCACGTAACAAAAATGTTACTACAGACTGCTCCCTGCCTCCTGGCTCGAGGTTACCACTCACCTTGAGCGTTGTTTATTGCTTATTTTAGTGTTTTAGTACAATTGTTATTAGCGTAAGACCCCTCCCCCACCCTTCCACCCTTCCCTCCCCATCCCCATTGCCCTAGTGCACTGGCTCGAAGCCATTGAGGACCATCACCGGAAACCTACCAAACGTTGTGACTTCGAACCAAGTTGCGAGTAGAGTGGATTGCGATTTCGAATTTAGCGATTTGAGTGAGAGTGATTTGAGTTGCGTTCGGATTATTGTTGCGGATTGCTTTACGTGAGTACTTTTGAGTGATTGCGTT